CCTGAAAGAGCATGAGGCCAGTGAAGACGAATCCAGCGTCTCTGTTCCTCCACTCCATGGATGGCCAGGGTTTGGCTACAGGCACTTTCAAAATGACCAGAAGACGAGGGGGCTAGGGAAAGTGAAGCAAGGCACAAGACCAGTTCAAAGTGGGCGGCTTTCTTGAGTCTGTCTTGCAACTACACACTCCAATTTCACCTTGCTGGGAACTTTGAAGGGTGGTCTGCACCAAATACCTGCCATCTCCAAAACCTACTGAGGGAAGCAGGACTTCCAGTCTGTTCTGCAGGTCTTGGGACTTACGCTGCCGGGTCAACAGCAAGAGCAAAGGACTGAGCAGTGGGTAGAAAGGAGGCCCATGGAGGACGCCACTGCTCCAGCTCTACGGCTGCAGTCAGAAGTACAACAGGAACAGAGCCTTTGGAAGCTCTTTATGGACAAGCACAAAGGAATGAAAACACTGCTCTTGGGTACTTATCCATTTTTGGTTTTGTTAAGAAAGTAGTACTTTAAATTTTATTTCAAGTTTTGTGTTCCTGGTGGCTGTGCACTCACAGGGGTGTCTACAGCATGGGCTTCCAGCGTGAGGGAGGAGATGACACTCCCTGGCTTTGTGTATCAAGAGGCTTCTGTACCTTTCCGGGCTCTACCTAACAGCTAATTGGTGGAAATTACCACAATGGCTCATCCAAATGCCTCTGACCGTTAGAATGGCAATTCTGAAATCTGTAATGGAAAAGGAGGGATACACAGCTTTAAATTTTCATACTGCAAGACCCTCCTGTTAGAACATCTACAATGAATGAATGGACACACACAGGTATGCAAAGATGACCCTACAACAAGGACAATAAAACAAAAAGCTACAGGTGAGGGAAACACCCTTCGGAGGTATTGTCTTTCTTTTTTTAAACTCAAACTCACAAGAGGCAAAGGCAAAGTCATTTAAATCATTTCCTTAGTATTACAAGTAATATTTAAATAGATCTAATAGTGCTGCTCCAAACCAATGAATTATGGGTTTAAAACCTATTAAAATGTAATGTTTTTTTCCTGAGCTGAGAGGAGAGAGATTTAAATCCACTGAATTTTAATATTTCAGCTTGAGCTGCAGGAGGTAGAGAAAGTCCAAATGAATTATTCCATCAGCACCATTCAAGCATGAACATTTTAATCAGTTTTACTTCCTCGGAGTTCTCTAACACAGTTTACGCTGTCATTTTGAAAGCACTTAACACGGAGTGTGTGAAAAACCACCAAGGCTTGTTATTGCCTTCACAATTGATGGCAAATAATTTTGCAGACTTCCTATCATTAAAATGTCACTGCTAAAAATTGAGGTTCAGCATTTCTAGTGCTAAACTGCACTTCCCTGCAGCAACCTAGCATACCTGTTCTTCAGGGACTCCGGTGGGGGGCTCTGGATTTTAATGTATATGTTTCTAATTTTTTTTTTCTTCTCAAAGATTGAGAGTCAAAAATGTGGTAAGAAGAATTCCAAAAGAACAACACTTTTAATTTTACAAGCCAAACACGTTGGTTTCTGACGTTCACACTAACACAACTTTTGCTTCTCAATGGTGGTTTTCTCACTCTGATGCCTTGTTCATCACTGCCAAAGGCACAGGGCATGTGCTGCCCAGCCGGTGCAGTGGATTCCCAAAACGTTTTCAGAGTCAGGTGACTAATTCAATAATACAGGAAATGAAAACATCATTTCTAATTAGATCATATTACTGATTTAAAACTACAATTTCTGTGTTGTTCCCACAGTGTTATCTCGCAGAGATGCCAATTTAAAAACACAGCGGCTCGTAGGACCCATGACAAGATCCAGGTGGATATATCACATCCCTCAGCCCGCTTAGGGGAACTTGGGGACAGCCTCAAGAAAACGTGCAATAGAAATACAAAAATTAACTATGAAATACAACTCAGGAATTCTCCTGCTTTTCTTCCTTATAAATAAAAGATAAATGCTATTTAACATATTTCAAATCTCTCAACAGTTTTAAACTGAACATGACCTGTGAAAGAAATCATTATGACTGTGTTTCATCCCATTAAACACAACTCGCTTATTTTCAGGAGAAAGCCGCCTCTCCAGGTTCCGGGCTCATGTCAGCCCTCTGCATTTCAGCTGCATGGATCACTGATCTGGCTCATTTACCAGTGAGGATAGAATAATATTGCACAGTTAAAAAGGTGCTTCATCAGATTTCATTAAATCTGGGAACTTGGCTCCTGTCTGGATGGTGCACATACATCCAAAACAGACACATGTGTAGTGGTAAATAACAAAGCTCTGCAGGGACCAGGGTGGGTCTCTGCACAGAAGGTCACTGTCAGGCACGTTCTTTAAAGCAAGGAGCAGGGCCCAGGATATACCTCTGCGCCTGCCTGGCAAGCGTGAGGTCCTGAGTTTGATTCCTAGTACCACGAATTTTTAAAAAAGGAATGAAAATGCAGAGGCTTGAGCCCTCCTCATTTTTGGTAGCAAGTCAGGAATGCCATCCCCTTCACCACAGGCGCACACCCCAGAGCACACACACGTGCATCTGAAATTCCACCACGGTACAATTCCAGAGACCACGGGAGACAGCAGGTGTCCCCAGGCTGGGCAGACCAAAGCAGCAGCCAGCAGAGAGTCTTCATGGACCAAGGAATTGGCTCCTCCTCCTCACTGCGGTTGTGGTTCCCTAAAACTGCAGGGTTTGTGTTTTTACTTCGGCCCTCTATTTCTCGGAATAGTCAGACCAGGTGATTTTTAGAGGTCCACAAGCCACACACAGCATCTGCTGCTGGCATAAGATCAGGTCTACTGAGTTCAAGTCAGTTTTCAGATCAGAGACTTAGACTTATTTGAATAATTAAATCCAGATACACACAATGTCTGTTGGCTCTAATCTAATAAATCATTTCCCTGAGAAAAGGCAATCTGTCATCCCATCCATTGCAAGTTCTGCAGAAGTGAAACATATACAAAACAATATTAAAAATGCATTTGATGTGGACTGGGGACACAGCACCTGCCATGCAAGCGCAAGGTCCTAGGTTTGACCCTGGTACACACACAAAAAAAAAAAAAATTGATGTGATGAAGGAAGGGAAGGGAATTTGTCTAGATTTTCTACCTTTCATCATATTTTTACACAACTTCCAACACAAAACCATGTAATTTTGGTTCACTTTAATCTTTCCACTATGGTCACTAAAAACTGATAAAAAGAAGAAAAAGGAAAAAAAAAAAAGTGTTCCACTTTCCTAGGAAAAATGCCACCCAACTTAAGGTAAGGTGGTTGCCTGGCTCCATGCCATTCATACAAAGATAAACTCTAGGCTGGGCAGGAGCTTGCTGGTGCTTCTTACTAGGCACCACTGGACTTCCTCTCTATAAAGACCAGACATACAGCAGATGAGAGATGTGGGTACCATTCCCTTGACCTGCAGGAGATTTAGTAACAAAAATCCAAACCATGCCCTGATGAATCTCTCTCTCTCTCTCTCCCTCTCTCTCTCCCCCCCTTCCTCTCCCTCTCTCTCTCCCTCTCTCCCTCCTTCCCTCCCTCTCTCCCTCCCTCTCTCCCTCCCTTTCTCTCTCTCTCTCCCTCTCTCCCTCTCCCTCTCCCTCTCCTCCTCTGCAAGGCAACCAGGGCTGCTACATGCATAGACTCTTAACTTCTAAAACTGATGCACTCTCAACTTTAAAAAACAACAAAAATAATATACTTTTTGGGAAATAGCTAATTGTGAAATGCACTTATCTCCAGTACCTCTTTGGTCCTGCCTAGCACAGAAAATTATGGCAAATGTTATTTCCAACTCCATCTGGCTTGTTCTGACTCAGCCTCTTCTTTCCAATAAGTATTCCTACTCTCTTCCATTTAGCATGTCTGCTAATTTACGATCATTCTTTCCGGTGGTCAGAGAACAGAATTCCAAACAGCCCATTAAAAACCCAAGTATGATCTGAGGACTGCGTCCCCAGGACAGGCAGTGGGCCTGGGTCCTGATGTCCTTGTTAGAAGACAGAGGCATGGATGAAGCAGCACCCTCTCTTCTGATGGATTATCAGAGACCCTTATCTAGACTACATTCAGCAATCTGAATTTTAAGAAAGTAGATGGGTAATTAGCATTTCAAAGTGTGTTTGATACATGAATGGGCAACAGGAGAAAAGACCTGTGTGTACTATCTATACACAAAAGGAAGTGTACGTTAGGAGGGGCAGAAGGAGGAAAGCACAGCTAGAGTCTCCATCGGAACATTCGAAGGAACTGCCTGGACCACCCGCAAGGTGGTCAGCCCAGATCCCTGACCTGGACAATTATTCCTGTTTTAGCACGTTATTTTATTACTTGTTACCCTAATGTGACAAAACAAGCGGAGTTGAAGTGACTGCCCAAACCCATGAATTTCGGCATAATTTCTATTCACGGTTAATACTATGGCTAGGAAGGATTTTCTAAGAGGGTCAGTGAATTTTCAAAAAAATGCAGTTTATCTGTTATTCCTACTACAAATGGACGCTGCCTCAAATGCAGTTTATCTGTTATTCCTACTACAATTGGACGATGCCTCGTGGGAAAACACTAATCACGGGACAAAATGTAGCAGGGAAGATGGGAAAACATTTGATGGAAGATGGTATAAGGGTAACTCTTTCATCAGACAAAAGAGTTATTTTAATATCAGGGCAACAGTTATCATTTTCTCTAACCTAGATTAGCGACCGAAGCTGGTCATAGAGGGAACAACCACGGAAAAATCAAAGCTATCGGCTCCTGAGACTTCCCAGAAACACCCGTGTTATTTTGTGGAAGAGGATCCAAAGTCTGAGGCAGCCATGGGTTTCGTAGGAGACTGAAGACAAGTGCTTAACTTCACTTCTGGGTCATCTGTGGTGCTCTGTCCCTCTGGGGGAACAAACTTTCTAAAGAGAGCGCGCGAGAGCTGACGACACACACTAAGATCAGAGCCAAAACGGAAAGACCACGTACCCCAATGATGGCGTTCAGTTCTGCCATGGTCACCTGCTTGGCCCGTTCCACAGCCTGCACCACCTGTTGCTGGTGCTATAAATGAAGATCAGAAACAGAACACAATTATTGTCTTCTACTCAGAACAGCTTTTCCTAACACGACCTCTAACTTCAATCACATGCACAAAGCATTGGGGGGGGGGGTCCTTCAGATTGCCAAATTCGAGCCCCAGGCAGTAGACGCCTGGGTTTGTGCCTAGGGACAGTGGGTCTGCAGTGGGGCGGGGTCCCTGGCATCCATGTGAGGGGACCACATGGGGGCCTCTGGAAGGACGCCTTGTACACTGGGTAGACTAGGGGTCAACTGTACATCATCTGGTATACTTTGACCAATGTCTCCTAAAAAAGCAAAACCCAAATCATCCTAGCTTCCATGCCTTCTCTTTTCTCTTTGCCATCTGTGAAAGATCAGATGGCACACATCCAGTGTGAAGAAAAAGACATTTTTTAAAGTTATTTCCTACAAGTCCTTGTTTTTAAAATTTTCTACTGATATTAATTACAGTGGATACTGGAAGGAAAGTCATTGAGATTTCAACATTTGCTTCTGGAAATGGGAAAATGATCATGTGTTAATTCCTGTCATGAAATGCTGCATATAAAAGATTAAAAGCAATAGGGACTCAAGTATCCCAGTTACATGCAATACGTTCACTGAAGAGTTAAGCTGATTTTCTTTAGGAAAACTAGGATTGATAGTATAGAAAAATCCCTCCAGCCACAACTCACTTCTAGAGAGAATGGGCAAGAACTAAGTATTGGAAATGTTTGGTAACAAGCAGTGGGAAAGTAAGCAGCACAGACGTCTCTACAGGGGGGCGGTCTCTCACCTCCAGACACACACAATTTACCCACAGACCTCTAAAAGGTGAACTGTCCCCACCCTGTGCACGTGAACACTAGTGGCTAAAGACTAAAATTAGACCTAAATACCTCCCTCCGGGCTTCTCGCAACTAGATTTAGTGAATTAAGAACCAAAGAGTGAAATCAGCTGTATAGAGCCTGGTTAAGTTTATCCCAGTCAGGAAATGAAGCCAAGTTTTTCACCTGTTTGAAGCGAATGCGAAGTCCAGCTGTCATGCAGCTTAATGCACAAAAAAGGGTGATCCACTGAATTTCGAGTTTCGCTTGAAGTACTTGGTCTCCACTCCAAAACCCTCACATGTGTATTTACAGATATCAGGGTGACCACGTTTGCTGCACGGGTGAGGTAGGCAGTGTGAGGGCAATGTGGAAAAGGGAGCTGCCTTAGTTACGGGCACTGTGGCCTATTCACACAGCCTTCCCAACAGAAACACACGCTTTGCGCTTAGGATTACTAGAAAGAAAATGTTGAATAATAGATTGCTGCATTTTAGGCACTTAACAGACTCTAAATGTTAAACTGTGCTTTTTTTTTTAAATTGTGGGAGTTTTAGTTTCAAAACAGAGGCTGACAAAGCGATCCCAGGCTTTCCAGATATGTCTGTCCACTCTCACTCTTTAATGTCTACTTAAGTGACATAATTCAATTTCTCTTCCTCAGAAGTGAAAATCCTGTAAAGAAAACTAGAAGGAACAGAGGAGCTGTGAATCCAATGGACAGAAATATTAACTTTAGTTTCCTCTGCAGCCAGCCGTAGCACCTTCAATGTTAAATGAGCACTTTCTAGGTGCCTGGCACAGAACCCATGCTGAGATCTTGGCACAGACCCAGGCTTGTTCTTGGAAGAAGGGGGAAATGATTGGACTTGAAAAACGAAAACGGCAACATATGGAACTCTTGGGATTTACTTAGCATTTAAAGAGAGAGTTGGACAGAATTTGATAAGGATTTTTCAACTTTTACTTTCTGACCTTCAACAATGGCTGCTTAAATCTCGGAAGAAATAAAGGATCAGGCTTCCTCAGACCCAATACATCTATTTATTTATCTACCACATTCGATTTATATTTCTGTTCAGTTATCAAAAAAAAAAAAAAAAAAAAAAAAAAACCCTTTTTGTGCTTCTGCGCTGCCATTTCTCCATGTTACGACAACAGAAATATTTACCTTTCATTAGTATTCTCCAAAGTTCCATAAGAAAGACACACAGAAAACACATCTAGGTAGGGCTTCTCTACCATGAGGACCGTTCAACCCCGCCTCCTAAACTGGCTTCCAGTGGCTGAGATGTGGGAAGCCACCACCTGTAGGCACTGGGAGCATCTTTCTGGCTCCACACTGAAACCAAGTATGGCATTTTTTGAGAAACCTAGAAATTTACTCCAATGACCCGTAACTCTGACATCAAAAACTTCTATAGAAACTTGCAAAAAAGCTGAAAAAGAAAATGGAAGGCCTAATGCAGCTCCTCCTTTGATAACAGAAGTCAAAGGGGAACACAGTATCAGTCACTTTAGTTCAAAATGCTGCTTGCCCATTTCTGCTCACAGGCAGTGAATGGCTCACAATCCAAGAACCTTTTGAACAGAATCTCCCTCAGGCTAACAATGCCATCTCCTACCTCCCATGTGTGCTAAGACATTCCTTCCCCCAGGAAAACACAACACACCTGCAACTAAGGAAGAACCTGTCCCCCAGGTAAGGCTGAAAATGGAAATTCAGGAATAAGAAAGAGGCACAAGATGACAAGAGAGAAAAGGAACAGTGCAGGAAAAGGCCCGGAGCACTCCTTCCACAGCTGACCCAGGAGACACTTCCTCCAATCCTCCCACACTCAGAAGGCCTCTGAGCCAGAAAGCTCATCACGTGTTTCCCATCTTCTTAGGACCCCAGTGACATGTCCTGATGCCCGCCATCTCCTGGGCGCTGCTTCCTGTCCTCCCGCCCACCTCCTCTCATGCCCCATCCACTTGCCACTCATCCCCTCCACCACTGAGCGAGCAGGGACAGCCACACATGCTGGCCCCAGGCCAGCCAGATAAGGTGACCCTCCATCGCCTTCCCCATGCTCACACTGCTCACTGTGACATACTTACCCTCTGCACGTTCCACCACTGGCACCACCATACAAAATGCCACGGAGGACACATCACAGTGGCCAGGGGATGGTGGCAGGGACTTATGGTATATAAGTTGTATCCTAGCAAAACTGACTTTTTAAAAGAACACTCTAAGGACTGTAAGCATGACTGGGAAAGGGGCAGTGAAATAAAACTCTACAGATGAAATCACTACCCCGCTTCCTTGCCCCATCATAAAACTATCTTTAGCATTTGTTCAATATATATATATTGAATTTTTTATGAGATTAAAATCATGGAAGAATATGGTAAGTCCAACAAAACCCACTAAAAAAGACCTTAATAAACCAAGCTGAATGCAGCAGGTGTTTAATGTATGTGAGGATTTATAATAACAACAACACATCAACAGTTTAGCCCTAAAGTTTAAAGCATGACAACAGTTACAGTGCTTCTAATAAAAATCTAGGGAAATTCTGCATTACAACGTGAGATTAAAAAATACTTGCATCCTACTGACGTGTGTAATGAAGGATGGGTAATGAGGGCAGAGATAGAAAAGTCAGCCAGGATCCTTAAATGTGAGCAGACACAAACAGTAAGACACACCAGGCTTGCTTCTCAGTGAACTCAAAGGCAGAGGGCACGTTTCTGTAACACAGGGATAGAGAATATAAAACTCATGAGAGGCTGCTGGCAGGAACACAAGCACAGTTTCAGGGCACCAGGGGTTTGTTCCCCATCCATTCAGCTAATGTTTATGTGGCCCCTGCTGTGTCCCAGTCATTCAGGCAGAGCCTGAGGTTAGCATGCTGAACAAGAAGGACCACAGATCTCCCAGAATGCGAACTGTATCAAAGATACAATCAGTGAATTAATAATACTCAAAAGGCTCCGTAATTACAACTGGAGGACCATTTCCATCAGAAAATTACAGGATGCCATGTAATCATTTACCAAGGAAATATCTTAATCTAATCTTGGGTCAGGGAAGGATTCCCTAAGGAAGCTGACCTGACTTAGAGACCTAAAGGATCCACAAGAGTTCTGCGGATGGAGAGTAGCACTTCAGGCAGAAGGGTGACAGGGAGGGGCCTAAAGGAGAAAGAAGTCTGCCTCCCTCTCAGGGAACCACAAGAACGGAGGCAGGGGAGAAGTTGTAGGCTCTTCTTGGGGTAAAACGCAGCAGCTCTTTAAAGCGGAAGGGATCCAAGAACAGCAAAGACAAAGGCATGCTGGGCAGAAGTGCGGCAGAACCGAGGATTAGCAAGAAATGAAATCTGGCAAGGCAGGGGGAAGCCAGAGGGTGAAGGGGTTTTTTGGGGTTTTTTGGGGGTTTTTTTTGTCTTTTTCATTTTTATCGGTACCAGGGATCGAACTCACGACTGCCTGCTTGCAAGGCAGGCGCTTATGCCACTGAGCTAAATCCCCAGCCCCAAGGGTTTTTATGACACACACAACAAGCTGGAATCCATCCTGGCAGAACATGAGACATTATTAGAAATGTTTAAACAGCTGAGTGCTCTCAATTCTGAATTTCAGTAAGATGAGTCTGGTGATAGGACCGAAGAGGGCACAATACTGCAGGCTAAACAACACTTCGGCCTCAACCTGGACCCAACAGCCTTCCTGCTAACAGGTATCAGGCGCTGCAGGCATGTGGAACCACTCACTCACGGACAAAAAGGCAGAACCGGAAAGGGCCCGTAGGGAGCACAAGACCAGATACCACTAGAAAGTCAGGCCTTGTTAGCAACCAACCAAGCAACCAAAATGCTCTATCTTCCCACCGCTGCCTGGGAGGATGGGTCCTGGGGATCAGAACTGTGGCACCAACCCAGCAGAGGCCCCTCCACTAACCAGCTCTCCCTCAGCAATGTGGGCACAACTCATGGGCAGGCGGGGTGTTTTCTGTTTTGTGTTTCTCCAAATTAGTTTAATGATTCCCAATGCTGAATTGTAATTCACCTTTGTATAGCTTCTTCCCCCTGGATCCAGTTTTGTCTCTATATTGCTTCATACGATAATGCTGCAAGATTCTGAAAGTGGTATTAATGCATCTTTTCCACTGCCTGTCTTCCAGGTTA